GCAAGGACTGGCTGAAACAGCTGTGCAGGGGCCCACCTCACAGAGCAGGACTTCAATGGGGCCCTGGTGCCCTGCTGAGTCTTCCGCTTGAGTGTGTCACTTGTGAAGGTGTTTGGATGGTGCTTGGATGTGGTATGAAGTTGTCCACTGGGTGTGATGGCCAGGAGGTGCAGGCCAAGGTCAGCTGCTGCCTGTGTTCTTCTTTGAGCCTCCCGACATGAGCTACAAAGTGATCTGCAGATAGCTGCTACTTGTGGTGGGCTTAGAGATGTCTAGGAAAGGCCAAGTTGTGAACCAAGGATGGCTGCCACTAGTGCCAGGCCTGGGCTCACTTAGCAAGAGGCATGGGGCATGCTGAGGATAGATACCGCTTGTTTGAAAGATTTTAGGGAAGTCTGAAGCATGTGCCAAGACAGGCCATTTGTATGGAAAAGCCACTAGAAACAGATTTGGTGGGCCCAAAAGTTGGGTAGGGGGAGGTCTCAGGGAATCTCCAGGGTAGAGTAAGCAGTGATAGCCAGGTTGATGGAGACTCAGACATAGTACCCCCTGTAAGCTCGCTCTGTGGAGGACTCAGCAAAGGAACAATGGCCTCTGTCAACACTTCTGTTTGGGAGAAAGCTTTCTCTCCAACCCTCGCCAGGGAATTCAGTTCCTCCCCGTAAGCACCTGGTGCGTTTTGAGCTGCTGCCCCAGTGTTGGAGCTCAGAGGGAGGGAGTCCAAGTAAGTCCATGTGTGGGCCCTTTAAGAGGAATGCCTGGGACTCCAGAAACCCTCCTCACTCAGCCACAATCCCTACTAGTTTTTACAGCCAGAAGTTCTTGTGACTTCTCTCCCTGGCACTGGAACCCTGGGCTGGGGTGCCTGGTGTGGGACTAGGACTTCTCACTCCTTGGGGAACCTCCACAGCCAAGATATTCCTTCCAGTTTTTATCTGCCATGCATGGGTGTGGGACCAGCCTGTTCCTCGTCTCTGCCCCTCCTGTCTCAACATGGCTTCTTCTATATAGCCTTAGTTGTAGGACTTCTGTTCAGCTACATTTCAGGTGGTTCTGTAGTTTAGTTGTAAATCTGATGTGTTTTTTTTTTTTCAAGTGATGAATAGTTGAATGTTAAATCAGATGAGATAGAGGTCCCAGGCACCATTTTATAATGAATAAAGTTCTGGAACACTAAACTTTTATTTAACAAAAAAAAAACACCAAAAGCTTAAAAACATTATAATTTTTTTCTTTACTGATTTTATTTATTTACTTATTCATTATCCTCACCTGAGGACATTTTTCCATTTTTTGTTCAGATAGAGTGGGAGGGAGAGAGAGGAAGAGAGAGAGAGAGAAACATCGATGTGAAAGGGACACATCAAGTGGCTGCCACCCGCACGACCAACCAGGGCCGGGGACAAACTGCAACCGAGATCTGCTCCTTTAGTGGGAACCGAACCCAGGTCTCTCCGGACCGCAGGCCGATGCTCTAACCGCTGAGCCAAACTGGCCAGGGCTCTTTATTGATTTTAGAGAGAGAGGAAGGGAGAGGGAGAGATGGAAATATTGATGAGAGAGAACATCGATTGGCCACCTCCTGCATGCTCCCTACTGGGGATTTGGCCCACAACCTGGGCATGTGCTTGACCGGGAATTGAACTGGCGACCTCTTGGTGCATGGGTCAACGCTTAACCATTGATCCACACCGGCTGGGCAAAAACATTAAAATTTTTAAATAAAATTTTAATGGTTACATTTGTAACATTTGACAGTCTGCTGCAGAACAGTAATTTCTTGGCTCCATCAGCTATTTGCTTGTTATGGACCCTACACTCTACCTCTGTAACACTAAATGGCTTATATTAAACTGAGGAGGGGGCTTAACCTTGTGCAAGGACAACCTTGAAAAACTTAGGGCCTAATTGGAAGTAACTAAAAATTAAATACATTCCTTAAAGGTTATTTTATTTAACGTGCCAAAAAAGTTCTACATGATTAAAGTTGATTTATCAAATTTACTATCTTGACCGTTTTTTGTTTTTGTTATTTTGGTGGTACATACCCCTAGCGGTAACCGAACCTGGGACTCTCCAGTCCACAGGCCAACGCTCAACCCCTGAGCCGAACTGGCCAGGGCCATCTTGACTGTTTTTAAATGTAGAGTTCAGTAGTGTTAACTGTATTAACATCATTTTGCAACAAATCTCCAAAGGTTTTCCATCTTACAACATTGAAACTAGAAACCCACCAAACATTAATTCCCCTTTTTCCCTCCAGCCCTTCATAATTACCTTTCTACTTTCTGTTTCTCTGATTTTGACCACCTTGGATACTCCATATGAATGGAATCATACAACATTTGTCCTTTTGTGACTGCTTTGGTCCCTTAGCATAATGTCCTTGAGGTTCATGTATATTGTAACATGTGATAGGATTTTCTCCTTTTTTAAGATTGCATAATATTCCATTGCTTGTATGTATTGCATTTCCTTTATGCATTTAACTGTTGATGGATTCTTTTTTTGTTGTTGTTAATCATCACCCAAGGATATTTTTCCATTGATTTTTAGAGTGGGGGCGGGGGAGAGAGAGAAATTGATGTCAGAGAGAGACATTGATTGGTTGCCTCCTGCATGACTGACCAGGGCCGGGGATCAACCTGCAACCCAGGTATGTGCCCTTGACTAGCAATCAAACCCATGGCTCTTCTGTCCATGGGCCAACACTCTAACCACTGAGCCAAACCGGCCAGGGCTGTTGATGAACTCTTGATTTACTTTCACCTCTTATATATTGTGAATAGTATTGCTTAGTATGAACATGATTGTACAAATATCTCTTGAGATCCTACTGTTAATTCTTTTGGATGTATACCCAGAAGTATGATTGCTGGATCATATGGTCATTCTGTTTTTTATTTTATTTTATTAATTAATTTTATTTTCTAAAATATATTTTTATTGATAGAGAGAGAGAGAGAGAGAAATTGATGTGTGAGAGAAACATTGATCGGTTGTCTCCAGCATGCACCCTGACCAGGGATTGAGCCCACAACCTGGGTATCTTCTGACTGGGAATCGAACTGGCAACCTTTCAGTACACAGGAGGATGCTCAACCAACTGAGCTACACCGACCAGGGATATTTTTTATTTTTTTAAGGAACCTCCATACTATTTTCCATAGTGACTGCTCTTACATTCTAACCAATAGTGAACAAAGGTTCCAACTTTTCTGCATCCTCATCAACACTTATTTTCTGCTTTTTAGAAAGTGGCCATTCTAATGATCATGAGGTAATACATAGACTTAAAAGTATTTATTTGCTCAAAAGGGACATGTTCTCCGTTATCTAACAAATGTATCTCTTTATATTCATATTTATTAAAACCATTTCTCTATTTATTTTAAAGTTCTCAAGAACTGCATGAGATTAACAGCTTTCACAGTTATGTATTGCAGCATTTTACTCTTATAATAATAAATATGCTGTTATACATCATTTGACACAATTTCAGTGTATGAGGCACATAAAGCTGTTTTCACGCAGGTTACAACTAGGTGCTTACCTTTTAGTGGAAAGTAAGTACTCGTATAATAACAGTAGATCTAAGTGCTGTGCCCTGCTGGTATTACCAACACTGATTACACTCACACGATCATTGATCCACACAGGAGGAGGAATGCCAGAAATCTCTCTGACGTTGGTTTTCAGTTCTCTGGCATTCCAGAAGCCAGTAGTTGATTTTGACCAAATATTGAGTTAAATTTCTGATCCAGGTGGAATTTATCTTGGGGGTATAGTATGAGGTTTGGATCCGGCATTAATTTTTTATAGGTGGCTACCTTTTAGTCCTCAAACCTACCGTTGAACTAGCCATATTTCATCAATGATTATACCACCTTTACCATCAATTAAATTCTCTTGTGTATTTCATCTTTTTTGACATGTCAGCCTTAGGGTCATTTTAACCGATTTCAGTGTTAATTCCTAAATATTATCCCTTTATTGTTGTTTTTTTCAGATACTTTTGGTAACTTTATCTTATTTACCTCTTAAGACCCTTTGAGGGTAGGTACTAATATGACCTAATCTGGCATAGTAGAATATGTTGAGTAATCGAATCAACCCCACTTTGCTGTTGAGGGCCCAGAGTCATTAACTTACCCAAGGACACTTATCTTATGTGGAAGAGCCAGGTGTTAACTTACGGGTTCCACTCCCAACATACGCTTCTAGTCACCGTGAGATACAATGAGCAGGATGTTAAAGGTCTTCTGGAGACAAACATGGGGTCACTAATAAAAATTGCTGACATTTATTGAGCACTTACGTGTGAAACATCTGTTGCCCGCTTCCTGCATTACTCTACTTGTCCCCACCCCACCCCTCTGTGGAGGCACTGTTACCATCCCTGCTTTGCATATGAGGACACTGTGCAAGCTACCTATTCTCTGCCTCAGAGGAACAGATTTCTTGATTACTGCACCTCTCAGTGCCTGTAGCACAGCATTCCAGTGAATGTCTACACTCTTCACAAGAAGTGATTGTTAACAGAGCAGCTGGGCTGTGGCTGGGCATTTTTAACTTTTTAAACTTTTTACAGTAACTGAGAAATTAAATGCATGTGATCACACTGTGTATGCATTTTAGTAGGATATTCTGACTAAATTCTGACTGTTTGCAGTGTGCATCTTGAAGAGAAGATGGACCTGCTGGCCATTGACTGGGCCTTGTATTCTACTGAGGCCTTGGTTCATTGCTAAGTTTTGTATGGACATTATCTCACTTAATCCTCAGGACAGCCTCCTGTACCTTATGAACTAAGACAATTCCCATTTTGCAGGTGAAGAGCCCAGGTCCCAGGAGATAAGGGGCTTGCTCATGTCTGTGGTATCTGGGAAGTGCCAGTGATTTCCAGCTGGGAATCACGCCCTCATGTATCTGACCCTTTCAACTCCCAGATGGATGTGGCCTATTGCTCTCTTGAACAGCTTTGCCTTTTTCTTCCCCAGGGCCACAATCATGTCTCTGGAAGACTTTGAGCAGCGCTTGAATCAAGCCATTGAAAGAAATGCCTTCTTGGAGAGCGAGCTTGATGAGAAGGAGAATCTCCTAGAATCTGTTCAGCGACTGAAAGATGAAGCCAGAGGTCAGGAGGCCTTGGTTTTGTTCCACGTACCCTCACCAGCATTGACCCCTCTCCCTACCTGAGAACACTGCCTGGTGTTACCTTTGCTGGAAATCTGCACCCTGCTTGGCACACAGGCTGGTCAGGGGGTGTGGGAATCACAACACTTGGTTCCCACCCCTTGCTAAGAATGGTCAGATGTTCAGACTGGAAAGACCACTCGTGGGTATTTATTTGTTAATCTTTACCTGAGGATATTTTTCCATTCATTTTTAGATAGAGTAGAAGGGAGGGAGGGGGAAGGAGGAGGGGAGAGAAACATCAGTGTATGAGGGACACATTGATTGGTTACCTCTCGAATGACCCCAAAGGATTGGGATTGAACCTATAAACCAGGTACGTGCCCTTGGCTGGGAATTGAACCTGCAACCCCTGAGTCCATGGGCTGACATTCTAACTGCTGAGCCAAATCAGCCAGGTCCTCTTGTGGGTGTTTAAACCCTCCACTGGCTTTATGCTCAGGAGGAGCACAAGAGTTTTGTGGGGGAGAATTTCTGTTGACGGAATTGCCAGCTAGGCCATTACTTTTGTAACTTGATAACAGCTGACATATGTGGCTTAGAACTCTGAAACTTCATCAGCATTTGCTCTTTGGAGGTTGGCAATTCCAGAGGTAGAGCCTTCAAAGTGTAATAAGACATTGGTGTATCATCCAAGTTGGATATATAAGATATTTTTTCAAAGTTTGAATTAATTGTTAATAACATTAATTTAGTTTCTATGTGGCCAGTAGGAGGATTAAAAAGAAAAACTCAAGTTTCAAAGGTAGTTGTTCTCACCCCTATGTTCATAGCAGTGCTATTTATAATAGAAGTGCCCATCAGTAGATGAGTGGATAAAAAAGCTGTGATACAGTTACACAATGGAATACTATGCAGCTGTAAGAAAGAAAGATCTCTTACCCTTTGAGACGACATGGAGGAACTTGGAGAGTATTATGCTAAGTGAAATAAGCCAGTCAGAGAAGGACAAGTACCACACGATCTCACTTATTGATGGAACATAATGAACAAAATAAGCTGTCGATCAAAAGAGATCCAGAATCATGGAAGTAGGGAACAGACTAACAAACCTCAGAGGGATGGGGGGGTGGGAGGGGAGGGAAGAGATAAACCAAAGAACTTATATGCACAACCAATCCACACGGACTCCAGGCTGGGGAAGGCAGAAGGAGGGTGGGAGCAGGAAGGAGGGGGTCAGTGGGGGAAAAACGGGGACATCTGTAATACTTTCTTTTTATTTATTTATGTATTTATGTATTTATTATCCTCACCCAAGGACATTTTTCCATTGTTTGTTCAGATAGAGTGGGAGGGAGAGAGAGAGAGAGAGAGAAAGAAACATCGACATGAAAGGGACACATCGAGTGGTTGCCACCTGCAGGACCCAACCAGGGCCGAGGACAAACTGCACCTGAAATATGTGCCCTTAAGCGGGAACCGAACCCAGATCTCTCTGGACCAAAGGCCAATGCTCTAACTGCTGAGCCAAACCTGCCAGGGCTATACTTTCAATAATAAAAAAAAAAAAAAAAAAAAGAAAGGTAGTTGTTCTGCCCTGGCTGGTGTGGCTTGGTGGTTAGAGCTTTGGCCTGCTCACCATAGGGTTGTGGGTTTGATTCCCAGTCAATGGCATGTACCTGGGTTGCAGGTTCTATTTCTGGCCTGAGAAAAAATAGCAGGCAACAACAAAAAATTAAAAGGTAGTTGTTCCTAAATGCCCATCAGTAAGGAAGTGGTTAAATAAATTACATAGACTTATTTGTGGAATGTTAAGCAGTTGTTAGAGCTAACAAGGTACAGATATAAACATGGTCTTAGAACACTTGTTAGGACATATCACTGAAGGAGGAAGATAAGTCATAGATGTATGTTTCTGTTTATGCTACATAATAATTCATATTAGATGCTTAATAGATATATACATACAGGGTGGGGCAAAAGTAGCTTTACAGTTGTAAGCACTTGAAACACAGAGTTTATTGTATTATTTTCCATATGAACAACTATAAACCTACTTTTGCCCCACCCTGTATAAATTGTATGTTGAAAATGCAGAGAAAAAGGATTGGAAATATTTCTGTGTTATAGTCATTATGAGTGAGGAGGGGCATTTGGGGATGGATTGTGGAAGCACATTTTTTTTTACTTAGTATTCTACGTACCCTGCCACGTTGGAATATTTTTGAAACAATAACAGCATTCGTGTATCATTGCCGTAGTTAAATATTTTTAAATCTTTTTTTTTTTTTACTCAAAAGAAAAGTTGTATAGTTTTACAAGCCTACTAGGCAATATCCTGTGGGTTTCATGTCATTCAGGGTTTCCACCTAAAATTTCTCACCCTGATACTTCTTTTCCTCGACCGGTATCTACTGCTGCCCCCTCCCCTCCTATCCCACCCCAACCTCCAAAGCAAGGATTTAATCTGAATCTTTTTTCTGGTCCAGATTTGCGGCAGGAATTGGCTGTGCAGCAAAAGCAGGAGAAACCCAGGACCCCCATACCCAGTTCGGTGGCAGCTGAAAGGACAGACACAGCTGTGCAGGCCACTGGCTCTGTGCCGTCCACTCCTGTGGCTCATCGGGGACCCAGTTCTAGCTTAACCACACCGGGGACGTTCAGACGTGGTAAGGAGAATGGGGGTGGGGAGGACTGACTTTGCTTCACAAAGCTTTCCTGGGTGAGAGAAAAATTGGACTGGGCTAGATAGCAGGGAGCAAACTGGGATGCTCACAGGGCACAGCACTGAGGCAAGTGAGAAGAGCCTCTTGGGTGTGAGGCAATAGAGAGCAGTGGAGTCTGTGGTAAACTAGAAAATAGAAGCCTTATCCAGAGGAGGTTCTGCTCCTGCCACGGGAAATTTAGGCCCAACATTAGCAGACATTTCCATTCTTCACCAGAAGCCAGAAATCCTCTTGTTGAATATGCACTCTCCCAAATTTAAAATTTCAGTAACCAAATAAAAATGTTTTGTGGGTCCAGCAATATATCCAACTAGAAATGGAGCCAGTGCAACCTGTGCTGTGTTGTAAAAATTAGGAGTTTGAGTATTCACCCCAGATCCTCTGCTGACTGATTAACTGTGAGATCCTCAAGGATCACTTAATAGCAAATAATAATAATAATAGACGATTATTGAGTGTTCAGTATATGCCAGTCACTCTGCTTAAAGTGCTTTGCATATAGATGACCTCACTGAATCCTCACCATAGACCCAAGGTGCAAATAATGAAGGTGCTACCCTTATTTGATGGATGAGGAGACAGGCCTTGAGTTGAGTGGCTTGTCACACAGCTGTGAATGGCAGAGTTGGGATTCAAGCCCTGGCCAGCTGGCTCCAGGGCTTACACTGCTATATACTGCCTATCCTTTAGCTTGTCCCCTAGGGTGAAGAGACTGGTGAGATTTCAGAATCCAAGTTTAAAGTAGTGTTTTCCACACTTGGGCAGGCACATGAATCAGCTGGGCATCTCATTAAACGCGTCTCGGATTCAGCAGGTCTGCGCACAGCCTGAGATGCATTTCTAACAAGTGCTCACATGATCCTTGCTGCTGGTCCCTGGGTCCCGCTTTGAGGAGAGAGGCTGTGTGGAGTAGACTCCTTACAAATGTGGTCTCAGAGGCTCTTCATGTTAAATTGCTGTGTGGAATTTCTAGGATTTCAGGAGGGCGTGTGTTGGTTTCATTGTAAAAGATGACATGGAAAGATAAATATTTAATATGGTAAGCATAAGGCTGCTAAGGGTTGGTTATAGTAGACTCTTACTGTGTGAGACAGTTAACTAACTATTGAATGAAATAGGGCAGCGTCCAGAACCAAGGCAAGAGTCGCTTCCCTCGCCTACCCCTGGGATTTTGCATTTAGAGATGCCAGCTGACACAGTGACTGTGGGTCACTACTATGTGCGCTTCCTTTTGCATGCCCAGGTCTGGACGACTCCGTGGGCGGCACTCCTCTCACGCCTGCAGCCCGGATATCAGCCCTCAACATCGTGGGAGACCTGCTGCGGAAAGTAGGGGTAAGACCAGCTGCTGCCTCCCTGGGGTTTGCTGTGGCTTCTTGCCTGTCCTTCAGGATATTTGCGAGGGACAACCTTACCAGTTCCTGTCCCTTTAACAGAATCCATGAGTTCTAAGTGCAGCTCTGGGTCTGTGTGTCCCTTATAATCACAGAAGCTTCTGTCGGCGTTGTTATAGGCAAACACCCAGAGCCTGACTCCGAGTCATCCCTTTGATCCCTGGGTAGATCTTTCTTTCCCTGTACCTTTTTTCCTTGGAATTTGGGGAGTTCAGAAAGTATCTCTGATTTTTGTTTTTAATTTGAAAAAACAGAAACATTTGAAAATTGCCTTCTTTTGTTTTTATTTCTCAGGGTATTAGAGAGAAAATCTTGAGCCCTGGCCGGTTTGGCTCAGCGGTTAGAGCGTCGGCCTGCGGTCCAGAGAGACCCGGGTTCAGTTCCCACTAAGGGCACGTACCTCGGTTGCAGTTTGTCCCCGGCCCTGGTTGGGTCGTGTGGGTGGCAACCACTCGATGTGTCCCTTTCACATCGATGTTTCTCTCTCTCTCTCCCCCTCCCATTCTGTCTGAACAAACAATGGAAAAATGTCCTTGGGTGAGGATAAAAAAAAAAAAAAAATCTTGAAAGGCTAGGGCAGGGAACTTGACTTTGTAGGTTTCATATTAATTACAGGGAAAGATCCTTTTGTGCTTCAGAAATTACATAGGTATTCTTTGTAGTTCCTTTTATTTTTAAAAATGAAGCTGGGAAGGCCACATAATTTAACTCCTGCCAGCCTGTTGTCAACCAGAATGTATGTGTGCAGAGCTGCATCTTGATCGGAGCTTATAACTCCTTTCTTAAGTTTTTACTTTGGGCTTTTGGTTGTCTGGTTTTCTGTTATATGAACAGGTCTCTGTTTTAATACTTTGCACAGTTAGATTATAAAGAAGCCTGGGGTGGTCTCAGTGCCCTTTTGGGTTTTGTGAGGTCTGTTTACAACAAGGTAGAGTCCTTGTTCAAAACTCTTGCATCTCGGTGCATGTTCAAGAAGGTAAACAAAAGGGAATGATCCCTGAAACTGCTTTCATATTTCCCATAGGCAGAGTTGGATATGCAGTCAGGTTAGTGATTTTCCAGGAAGCAGCTCAGTATCTTAGGCCGGTAGGTCTAAGATTGGGCTGTGCATTGGGTTCCTCGGGGCCCCACTTTGGAATTCCAGCACACAACACACTGTGCTCGGTTACTCTCTGCACACAGGCTCCAGTGAGAGATACGAGTCCTGGTCTTTAACTTGAAAGATGAAAGCACTTTTTTCTCTAGGCACTGGAGTCCAAACTTGCATCCTGCCGGAACTTCGTGTACGAGCAGTCCCCAAACCGAACAGGTGGCCCCACCTCAGGGCGGGGGAGCAAGAACCGGGATGGCAGTGACAGACGGCCAAGCAGCACCAGCGTGCCTCTGGGCGATAAAGGGTCAGTGCCTTTTGTTGTCACTCCAGGTGGGGAGCCTCTAACCCCTGACCGAAAGCCATTTCTTAAAAGTTGCAGGATTATGTCAGTGAACCTGATCCTCTCTCTCCATCCCTGGAGACAGTTAGGTGGTGTCTTCTGTTGGGGCAAATGGCCAAGGAGAGGCTCGTGTTTATTATCAGATTCTGCAGCCCTGGCTCCTGGTCACACTGAGGGTGTCCTGTATAAATGACTTGTGTGGGACTTGAGCTTCAAACACTGCTCTGCTTCCTCCAGGAGAGGGTTTTTTCCTTAAAAACAACAACAACAACTTTAGAACCTTCTGGAAACTGGCACTAAATTCCAGCCAGACTGGAATCCTGAAGCCAGTCACTGCATTGGGAAACAAATCTGACCTCTCATGGCTTTATTTTCTCGCCTGAAGAAAATCAGGGCAGCTTCCAGCTCCGGAAACTTTCTAGATGTGCTGCCGTCTTACTGGACCCCAGGCCACATCAATTTGGTAGGTCCGCAGCAGACAGATGACAGGAAATGAAGCATCGTTTTCCGTGGCATGCACACCACTTCTAGACCTTTAGCAGTGGGTGTTTTTAGAGGATCTTCTGCACCTGGGCTTTTTGTGTGGCCTTGGGAACGAGAGAGCTAGATAGCCAGAGTCCTTTTCTTCATTTCACAGGAGAGAAAATTGAGACGCAGTGACACTGCTCCTGACTCTCGATATTCGCTCTTAGAACCGTGGGCCCAGGTGCCGGTCAGTCCGTCCCAGCTGTACTGTCTGCTTAATTTGGTTTGCTCTGTCTGAAGGTCAGGAAAACGCCTGGAGTTTGGGAAGCCGCCTTCAAATCTGTCCTCACCATCCCTGCCGTCAGCCCAAGGTGTAGTCAAGATGTTGCTTTAGGAAACCCGCAGAAATGAAGCCGCTGGTGTCTGTGCAGCTGGAGTTGTTACCTTTCCTCCCCACTCCTCACACTGGGTTTTTGTTTTTCTAAGATAGTTTGAGAAATATGGGCAAGCAGGCACACTAGCCAGTGACTGAAGCCATCGCCCGTGGCCCTGGTGGTTGGCCCTATGAAATGTCTCATAATCCCAGCCTCCTTGTTGGTGTGTTGCAGACAGAGAGGGACAAACAGGCCCCCCTGGAAAGGGCTCTGAGGTGTGGGTGCTGAGGCTACCCCATCATTTTGAGCTGACCCAAGTTCTGGTTGGTCTTGAGAGGTGTTTTTAACGTACAGAGACGCTTTCCAAGGGGGATCTGAGTCCACCTCAGGCTCACGCCAGCCCATTCAGCTGGAGCTGTCTTCCAGAACAAAGTCTCCCGACACTGTATGGCACAGCAAGGACCTGCGCCCTGGAATCACGTCTAGGAGCGGAGAGTAGACTAGGCATGTGCTTATTAAAACTGGTGTATGTACCTCCTCCCATTTAATTCTCGTTGAAGCTTTTAGAGGTGTGCTTGAGTGTCAGAGTACATATTGTGTGGACCGGTCAGTAGAAAATCTGTGTCCTCTTTAGATCTGTCCTGACCATTAGTTGCCCTAAGCCCCATCCCTGGCTTGGGGGTGACCTTTGCTTCAGGACCCTCAAGGTCACTGGGGTGGAGTGGCTTTGTAAATACAACCTTTAAGCATAGGATTTCGCTGAAGGCCATAATGAAATCAACATGACCTTCAAATAAGAGTCAACCACCAGGATTGTTGTTGGAAGCTTCCTTGTCAAAGAAGTGAACACAGTTTTGTGGACGTGGATGGTGTACATGCTCATCTCTGCTTGTCGTGAACTGCTGTTTCACACTTTCGGTCACAGGCCAAAGATGACATGAATTCAGGAGCGTGTGTGTAGTTCAACAACCTTCCTTTTGTTACTAAGTTATTTTTCCAAAAGAACAGCAAAAATATCCTTGATTTGAAAAGAACTTTTCAAGTGCTACTGAAATTCAACAGGATTAAACTTGACTGCCTTATTCATTATTCTAGAAACATTCTAACCTGTATCTGTAAAAGATGTACTTTTATTTTTTTAAAAGAACAATAAAATCAAGAGAAACTAATTTTAACCAGTGTGTGGTTGTGGTCAATGCATGCCGCTTTGCTTGTGCTTCTTTTGTGTTTGCTTGTATGGTGATGAAAACTTGGTTTTCAACCAAGTAACCAAGTATGAAAAAACCTGCTGTTTAAACATTTCTCTTTAAATCAGCTTCTTAAAACTACACTTGGAATACGTTGGTGTATTGTTCAGGGTATATGGGCATCTGGTCATTCAGCGGAGTCGTCTTGGTTTCCGTATTTCCTCTCCTCTCAAATCTATTTGAGCCCGTGGAGTCGGTGCATGGAATCATTGTGTTTGCAAGGAATCTGCAGCACGCAAGCTGAGGAAGGACAGGCCCACAGCCCGGTCTTTTATGGCCCTCACACTAAGCATGGTTTTTATGTTTTTAAAGGGTTTAAAAACAAATCCCTGGCCAGTTTGGCTCAGCAGTTAGAATGTTGGCCCGCGGACCAAAGAGTCGAGGGTTTGATTCTGGTCAAGGGCACGTACCTCGGTTGTGGTTCGGTCCCGGCCCTGGTTGGGGTCGTGAGGGAAGCAACCAGTCGGCTTAGGGTTAAAAATAATGATAATGAATCTGTGATAAAGACCATATATAAATGAAAATATTTACTCTCTGGCCTTTCCAAAGATTGTTAACCCCTGCTGGGTGAAGTCTTGTGTTTTAAGTTAAAAATTCAAGGAAGTCTTGTATTCACACTATATGTGCACTGGTTTTGATGGATAAAGATGTTCTTCCTGGTGATGTTTCCCCCAGCTTTGGGCCACCCACCTCCTGGTTGGAGAAGCCCTTCGCACTGACTCACTTTGTACTCGGTTCTTTTTGCCGGGTGGGAGCTTGGGCAATTTATTTGACCTCCCTAGGCCTCCATTTCTCCATTCACGAAGTAACCCTGACTTCATAGGGCCCTCGTGAGGATTAAAGGAGAATGCTGCCCCATTCTTTCCCCTGTGGAAAACACCAGAAGAGCCAACTACGTTCTAGTGATTTATAACCTTTTATTTATTAGTGAGGGTGTTCTTAAATACAGTCGGGGTGTATACAAAACAGTGTAACATTCCTGCTCTTGTCCGGTCGAGCAGTGTCTCCTTTTTCATTCGGGTGACTGCAGAAGGCACTTGGTCTCGGTGATCTGTGTGTGTCTGAGGTGTGGTGACCAGGACAGGGAAAGATTTTCAAACCAGGTCCTACTCACAATGTTGGAAGGGTACACATGTTAGAGAATGGCTTGGGAGTGGGGGCGCAGTGGCACCCACTTTGGTGACTTTCTCCCCATTTCATGTAAACTAAGTTGCCGGTGATCAAGTTACCGTGGATATATTTTTCTAAAAACTCAAAACCTCTGCATAATTCCTTGATAGAGGGGGAGTGGGTGTGTCTGTGTCTCCCGTTGGTTTTTCTCATTTGGTACACGATTCAAAACTTAAATGGATGCCCTGAGCACAGGGTGGTGTTTATGTTCACTGTGAGAGGTGTCTGTGATTTTGGAGTTTGGAAATGGATTTAGACAGTGCTAAGCAGAGTCCACTGGGTGTTGTTTAGTTTTGTTTTCAGCAAGTTGTCTATTCACTGGCTTTGGTTCCATTGAAGTCTGCATCTCGAGCATCCATTTCCTCATCGGAACCATCTGCGTTTTCAATAACTCTACGGCCTCCAGACCTTCTAGAGGGAACAAAAGAGGTCTCGTTTCCTCGCCTGTGGGTTTTAAGAAAAACACACCTTGCTTTAGTACAGAAATCACCCTTGAGGCTGTAAGAGATTTTTGGAAAGTATAAAAAACAAACTCAAATGAGACAAATACGGAGGGTGAAGTCAACAAATATTGACCAATTACAAGGTATGGTTACATTTGATCAGCTGGGGTTGGGGAAGTAGGTTCTTCAGAGCAGGACTATTGGCCTGGTCATTTGCCGACCCGTGGGATTCTGGTCTACTGCAGTGACCACATCCCCATGGGCTTATTTATACCCTGTGGGGTAGGTGTGGAGAAGTGGCATGTTCTCATTCTGCACCTTGTCCTGGGGGGGGGGGGGGCTTTAGGTTTTTGATGGGAAGGAGAAAATGAATGATAAGGGCAGCCCTGAGGGGAACAGGTCACTGCGCAGATGCCAGAGGGTTGCTCTCTGGTTAAAGGCAACATAGCGCCCCCACCCCCCAGCTTTTGTGGAGCAGCATTCTTGGGCTGAGTTCCCCTGGGGGATCTCATCTGTGTTTCGCTTACCACAGCAGCCACCGTTCATGGCTTATAATAAGTGTTCAATTAATATTTGTTAGAAAAATAAGTTGAACATGTTAATCCAAGGTGTATTTTTAGCTCTAGCTGGTAGGACATTCTTTTCTGTCCTTACTGTTCCCATATCTGTCCTGCCTGAAGCCCAGAGTTACCACCTGCATTACCCTCAGGTGACCCTGGTCGCCTGAAGTGAGGCTTTACCTAGGAGGGTGGGGCAGGCAGGAGGAGGGAAGGTCAGCCCCACCTGCATGTAACCTTCACTGTTTGGGAGAAATGTTTCCCTCCTCCTCAGTGACCACAGCCAATAATTGTGTTGGGCTCTGGCCACCTGGCCCTGTTTTGACCCAATTCAGAGGTCAGGTCTTAAATCATTTTAGAATGTCTAAGAAGAAAGCAGACTTTCTGTAAGAGAAACGACCCACTTGCCCACACAAAGGCTGGACAGAAAAGCCACAAAGGTGAGCCCATCCCATTTATTGATACTTGAGTCAAGAACAACTCAGACAGGTAAGACTGGAGGCGCAAGCAAGGCCCAGAGAATCCTGATCGCTGAGAAGGTGACTCCCAATAGGATTGGGGTCCGAGGGTGGGAGAAAATGGGGCTGGGAAGACCCACCGGGTGCAGCGGATGGTATTCCCGAGGTACGGCGATCAGGAATAAATACTTAAAGTTGTAGCCACTCCCAGCTAGATCAGGCCAGCCTCATTCACGTCAGGGCAGCTTCTAGGCCTCTCCCTCCCTGAGAACTAAATTTCCATCACTTTCTCTGGGTGACACTTGGAAAGTCTTTGTCCATGAATTTGGGTCAGAGAACGGGGTCTCGGAGTATTGGGGGAACAGCAGTAGTGCAGGCGTCTCTCTCCCACTTCTACCTTGTTCAGACTTGATGGGATGGCAGGGGCCAGGCTCTGGGTGCTCTGCCCCCGGACAGCCTGTATTTGCTAATTGGTAAACGTGCTCCCTTGGCCTGGGAAGGAGACCGTGCCCTGGGTCACTGCACGTCCCCCTCTTCGGCTGCAGTCTGCAAGCCTTTTTGTTCTGGTTCAGGTATCTTTCTGGAAGGAACGGGTTTCAAACCCTAGGCAAAGGTTGACACTGGCTTATCTGTCATAGGAAGTAAGCGCCCCCGCTAAAGGTTTTCTTAACGAGTCTGGTCCTGGAGAATTTGGATCCTATTTGTGGACTGAAAAGAACTTACTCAAGGTGCTGTCGGCACGCCAGGGCCCAGCACAAGGGTGCAAGCACTGCTGCCTCACCGGGACTGGGTTCCCATTCTCATGGGTCCCACACTCCAGCCAGCCCTAGAATGCAGCCAGCTCTCTGCTCCCAGTGAGCTGCTTGAAGGCTGTGGGTTCTAGAGGCCGAAAGCTCCTGCAAGGTGCCCTGCAGCTTTAAGTATTTGGGTAGTGACAGCAAAGCTGAGATTCTTGGAAAGAGAAGATGGACACAAGGCAGGGCTTGCTCGGCCTCTCAAGGCGGATGAGAGGAAAACCAGGCCCCAGTTGCCTAGTTGTCTGTCTGAAAGAGTTGTTAGAATCCCCGAGAAATCGAGACCTCTTCACTCTGTCTTGTGAAGGGCCCCAAGTGGGTCCTAGAGTCTGGGGTACCCATTCCCCAGTCCGTGAGTGCGTGCCAGTGAGAGTTCTGGAAAAGGCTCTGCCGGGACTGCGTAGCTCTGTGGGTGGCCTGCAGCCCCCCTTGCGCAGGGGAAATAGTTAGGAGCTAGGCCTAGCTGAAGCCCCACACAGCCCTCGCACGTGTCAGGTGGCATGGCGAGCTCTTTTCTTCTCAGACAAGTTTGTGAGTGCCCAGCCACGGAGGGACACGTTTCTGGGCTGCGGTATCGTGAACCTGCGCCTTGTTAATTCTGGTTAGTGAACTCGACCAGCCAGACTGAAGCCATTCTCCAGGAACGTACCATATTTTGGAGTTATACCTGCTCAGCACAGCCGAGTGTCCCTAACAGTGTAAGAGAGGACCTCCTATGCAGGTAAGAGTACTCTAAGTGACAGCCTCTAAACTCATCAACACACGGTGACAAAGACACATTCGGTGCCGTGTCATGCCAAAGCGGAAACAGGGAAGGGGAATGGGTCAAGACATTAGGTCCTTTTGATCTTGGTTGTAATGAAAGACAGTTTTGAACTACGATGTCCAAGCCTTCAGATTTTGCAGGAATCTCACAGAAATGTGCAAGGGCCGTAAAAGGGGGCAGGGAGGGCGCGATGGGCAGAAAGGAAATGGAAACCGAGTGTAACACACACGAGCCGCAGCAAAGCTGAAGGCATGATACCTGGCGAGTCACTGCGGAGTTTCCAGGGGGAGGGGGCCTCTGAAACAGAGAGAGAGAGTTGTCCTTGGTGGTTATCATCAGGCAAACGGGAGGGAGCCCATTAAGTGCCTTTCTAATCATGGAGGCATTTGCTTCTATTAAATAATTACAGGCACTTTTTTTTTATCCTCATCCAAGGACATTTTTCCATTTTTTGTTCAGATAGAGTGGGAGGGGGAGAGAGAGAGAGAAACATCGATGTGAAAGGGACACATCGAGTGGCTGCCATCCGCATGTCCCACCAGGGCCAGGGACAAACTGCAACCAAGGTACGTGCCCTTAGCGGAAACCGAACCCGGGTCTCTCTGGACCGCAGGCCGACGCTCTAACCGCTGAGCCAAACCGCCAGGGCAATTACAGGCACTTTTAAGTCAACCTGCCAACAAAGCACCAAAGCCAGGCTGGCACACAAAAG